AATTCGCTACACTGGATACCCATTCTGCCCAGAAGCCCAAAGATAGTGGTGCCATGTGCTTTTGCCAGGAGCAATCAAAGAAGGTGGGTTTGCTTTGGCTCCAAGGTCACCGTTACATCTTTTAACTTGGTTTACTTCAGTACGTAATGGCACAACGTTAAGACTGCTGCATGCTACTTGTCACTTAGCATAAACTTAAAACTGGATGCATCTAACATCAAACGTGTTTTGAATCTCCAGAGGCTTGCCTAAGCACAGACTGTGATTTACGGGGCTGACACGCTGTGCGGTTTTCCTTCCTGCTAACACACCCAGTCCCGTCACTCAGAGGATACACAGTGGGGTTGAAGTTCTTCAGGATGAAGAAGGAGGCGACAATGACCAGGAACAGGAACAGCGTGTTGTTGTAGAAGATAGAAAATGTGGTCGCTTCATAATCAGCAACTTCGTTCTTCTTCCACAGGATTCTGTAAGCACAGCACCAAGTTAGGCAAGTCTCCAGCAGCGGTTGAAAACGTCAAATACCACAGTGGCTCTAGGTCACTGTCTCGGACAAGCTTTCCACAAATATTCCCGAGGATGTGGCTCAGTAGGAAGTTCAGCTAGGACCGTCCCCTTTCTTCCCCCGGAAAGCACAGTTCACTGTATTTTCTTACTGATGCTGAAGAAGACAATTGCCAAGTGGGTCACCAAGCAGTTAAGAACTATGGCGGAAGGGCTGGTTAAGTGCACATGATGTGGCCGGCCTTGCGCTGCAGGCCAAACAAGGGCTTTCCTTTAGGTCTTCACCTAAAACGTACAGCCCACCCCCCACCCCCACCCATCAGCCGCATGGCAAAGCCGTGGCTGAGCTCTGGCTGTCAGCTGACTGCTCTACACCAGTCAAACTCGACAGCACAAACTACCTCTGGTCCACAGTAAGAGGTGGTCTTGTCTGTGCCCACTCTTAGCCTTCCCACTTCAGTCACGGAAAGGATCCACTTTATCAGCAGGAGGAACGTTCAACTCAACCGGACCCCCATGTGCGTCACCTGGGGCCTGCGCTCCACCACCAGGCCTGCCTTCCGTGGGGTTCCTGGTGAACAAGACCCTTCATCCAACCTTTCTGTCTCACAGCCATTTGTAACAGTATTGTCTCTTCTTAATATATTAGCACTTAACTAACCTTTTCTGTGGCCCCACAAACAGGCCGGTGGAGGCTGCTAGGGTGTCGGTGATTGAGGGAGCCTTTGTTCTCCTTGGTTAATTAACTTTGAAAAGCAGTTTTTAAAGGGGTACAATAGTAAAGTGTGTGTTTAGTGAAATCAATGGAAAATGTGAAATTAAGAGGATCTAATGCTTAAAAATCAACTGAGTGGATTGTGACACTTAAACAAAACTATGAGTATCAGGTACAGTAATTAGTTTCATGAAACTTTTCTGTTTATATGTGTGA